GACATCCTCATTTCTACGTTCTGTGATATAGTTACAGAGGAAGATATAACTTGTTTGTCACTGCAAACATTTTTGTTAGTAGTTTCCATCTGTTCCTTCTAAGATACCTGGACTACAATACAAGTCGGTCTTATACAGTTCTTAATATTTGTTTAATGTAACATTTATTTCACATTCTGAATTAAAATAAGTGACATTGTTTACCTTCAGATATTATAAAATATTAGAGAATCCAAAGTATTGTTTCTTCACGGGAAAGACTGGAAGACAAATGTTTGATCTCAGAGTTACAGTCATTGTGTCTCATTCACAAGACTTTCTGCTGCGATGACCTCAGACTGCCCAGTTGGGGCTACGTTGTCTTAAATATAGATGTTAATAGACGTTAAACTGTAAACTGTAAACTGTTAAACTATAAACTGTAAACTGTACACTGTACACTGTAACTGTAACTGTAAATGTTAAATGTTAAACTGTAAACTGTAAACTGTAAACTGTAAACGTTAAACTGTAAATGTTAAACTGTAAACTGTAAACGTTAAACTGTGAACGTTAAACTGTAAACGTAAAACTGTAAACTGTTAACGTTAAACGTTAAACTGTTAACTGTAAACTGTTAACTGTAAACTTCCAACGTCAACTGTTAACTGTTAACTGTAAACTGTAAGCTATAAACGTTAAATGTAAACTGTAAACGTTTAACTGTAAACTGTTAACATTATTTAACCAACATCTGTTATAAAAAGCTTCTTAATCATCATTAAGTTTACACAAGCAGAAAACACATTATTTTATTCTGATTTCAGTCACACACACACACACACACACACACACACACACACACACACACACACAGTGTTTTGCTGACTCAGCCTCGTCATCATTCCTGTCCCAAAATGTTAAACGTTAAATGTTAAACTGTAAACTGTAAACTGTAAACGTTAAACTGTAAACTGTAAACTGTAAACGTTAAACTGAAAATGTTAAACTATAAACGTTAAACTGTAAACTGTAAACTGTAAACTGTAAATGTTAAACTGTAAACGTAAACTGTAAACGTAAACTGTAAACGTAATATGTAAATGTTAAACTGTAAACTGTAAACTGTAAACTGTAAACGTTAAATGTTAAATGTTAAACGTTAAACTGTAAATGCTAAACGGTATACATTAAACGTTAAACGTTAAACTGTAAACTGTGAACTGTAAAATGTGAACTGTAAACTGTGAACTGTAAACTGTGAACTGTAAACTGTAAACTGTAAATCTTAAACTGTAAATCTTAAACTGTAAACTGTAAACTTTAAACTGTGAACTGTGAACTGTAAACTGTGAACTGTAAACTGTAAATGTTAAACTGTAAACTGTAAACTGTAAACTTGAACTGTAAACTTAAACTATAAATGTTAAACTGTAAACTGTAAATGTTAAACGTTAAACGTTAAAATGTAAACTGTAGACGCTAAACGTTATTAACGTTAAACGTTAAATGTTAAATGTTAAACTGTAAACTGTAAACTGTAAACGTTAAACTGTAAACTGTAAACTGTGAACTGTAAACTGCAAATGTTAAACTGTAAACTGTGAACTGTGAACTGTAAACTGTAAACTGTAAACTTAAACTTAAACTGTAAACGTTAAACTGTAAACGTTAAACTGTAAACTGTAAACTGTAAACGTTAAATGTTAAATGTTAAACTGTGAACTGTGAACTGTAAACTGTAAATGTTAAACTGTAAATGTTAAACGGTAAACGGTAAACTGTAAACTGTAAACGTTAAACTGTAAACTGTAAACTGTAAATTTTAAACTGTAAATGTTAAATGTTAAACGTTAAAATATAAACTGTAGACGCTAAACGTTATACGTTAAACGTTAAATGTTAAATGTTAAACTGTAAACGTTAAACTGTAAACTGTAAACTGTAAACTGTGAACTGTGAACTGTAAACTGCAAATGTTAAACTGTAAACTGTGAACTGTAAACTTAAACTTAAACTGTAAACTTAAACTGTAAACGTTAAACTGTAAACGTTAAACTGTAAACTGTGAACTGTAAACTTAAACTTAAACTGTAAACTTAAACTGTAAACGTTAAACTGTAAACATTAAACTGTAAACTGTAAACTGTAAACTGTAAACGTTAAATGTTAAATGTTAAATGTTAAACTGTGAACTGTGAACTGTAAACTGTAAATGTTAAACTGTAAACGGTAAACAGTAAACGGTAAACGGGTAAACTGTAAACGTTAAACGTTAAATGTTAAATTGTAAACTGTAAACTGTAAACGTTGAACGTTAAACATTAAACTGTAAACTGTGAACTGTGAACTGTAAACTGTAAATGTTAAACTGTAAATTGTAAACTGTAAACTGTAAACATTATTTAACCAACACCTGTTATATAAAGCTTCTTAATCATCATTAAGTTTACACAAGCAGAAAACACATTATTTTATTCTGATTTCAGTCACACACACACACACACACACACACACACACACACACAGTGGTTTGCTGACTCAGCCTCGTCATCATTCCTGTCCCATGTGGTCGCCGTGGCCACATCATGTATCAATAGGAGAGCAGAAGTGGATCAATTGAATCCTCATCTGTTCTGCTTAATTGATTGATTAGAAGCTCTAATGGACAGTGTCCTTAACGAGCCATTAGCTAATTGGCTCCAGTGATAGGAGTGTGTGTGTGTGTGTGTGTGTGTGTGTGTGTGTGTGTGTGTGTGTGCGTGCGTGTGTGTGCGTGCGTGTGTGTGTGACATAGATGACATTAATAATCAGCCGATCGATGATCAGGAGGAGAAATTAGAAACTATAAAGACAGAGAGGAAGAAGGGTTGAACTCCACTTCCCATCATGCACCTGTCATACACACAGAATACAGTATTATCATTTAGACTGTGGATTAATCCTGGATTCAAGTATTTAAGTCTTATATTAGCCCTAGATTGTAGTATTAAGGATATAGTTTAGTCCTGGATTAGACCACTCTGTAGATTTAGTGCCCATATTAGATTAGTTCTGGATTACCGTACATTGGTTACTCTTCCTAATCCCTCATTAATCCTGGATTATAGTATTTTATCCTTCAACTAAATCCAGATTAGACTCTAGATTAAATCTCAGATTAGTCCTGGATCAGTATTATTGGAGTATTTTGGGTCAGTATGGCTTCATGAGTCATTGTTTTGAATGACATGTGTTGCTCTCCAGGGATTAGTCTGTACCCCAATCTTAATCACAGATGGTTTGATGTTTCCACTGGGATCTATTTCGGTCTGGTTTAATCTCTGGACAGCAGACATTATTTTGCTCCATGGCTACCGTTCCCATTACAGACAGCAGCTGAGAATAGACCAGTCCGCTGGGATGTGTCTATCACCTGGAAACAGGCTCAGTCACCTCAAAGGAAAATCATGTTGGATAGTGTCCCTTATTTTCCCTCTGTGGGGACTGTGTATATCCTGACCTAAATAGCTTCATTAATGAACAACAAGTCTCATTCCGGTCTAATCTCTGGAGAGTGCACGTTATTACATTCCGTGAAACTCAGATAATAGTCTGATCCACTGGGGATGTATCAGCATCTG